AGTAAGTTATACACCACTTCAAATCTATCTTTTCGAGAAGAATTCTCCTTGGTATGGTACCACCGTGGAGTTATTTCCCCAGTTCCCACGCTCTCGAATTTAATTGAATTGTCTCCTGAAGGTTAAGGTCCTTGCGTGAGTACCTTCTCAGGCAATCTAGTGCCGCGTGGATTCTCAAGTCTCGGGCTCACTATTGACATCGAGCACAAATTCAGCCGTGGCTTACTGTCCACGTATACGCCCGCCGCCTGCTTGAGACGTGGACAGTAACGTATGGCCCGGAATGGGACCGGCTTCACGTATCAAGTCCATTATCCTAACCTTACCTTCTGCTTCATCGAAGCCGTTCTTCGACTTTCGCGTGCTGCTTTCAGGCATGACCTATCACTATGCATAGTGTGATGGAATGATAAATAGTTTGAATGCTAATCAATTGCAATCTATGAATCAAAATTACGTACGTTCAATGGGAGAAATGAGTGTATCCCAAGTGATTAAAAAAAAGGCACTAGAAAACAACATTCCATCACTTGTTTTTCGAAGTGATCGCTTCGCGCGTTTTCATAAACCCAAGATTTATGTTTTACGCGAGCAACGCAGGCTTTTAGAGTCTGGACAAAGAAGAAAGAAAAATCAGAATGCGTGAATTCGTTCTATTTGGCATTTTATGAAATATGAACCGAAAAATCTCACGAGTCTCGCCAGTTGGCGAAGACGACCCAACATTTGCTGCCGTCTTCCCTCTACTTGGCCATGTGTTCTTATCACTCCTTGATCAACAAAGAAGGTAATAGAGATGGGAGAGAAGATGAGAGAAATGAATCTAGTCAAGATGGACGCACGCAAACTGTTCCAAAGGTAGGCCATCTTTCCCAGTGTGTTCGCCGCACAATAGACTCGAAAAATCGATTGCAAATTCCACGGCCACACTACGAAACGAATTTCAATTTGTACGGCAAGAAATAAGAAACAAAAATAATTATGGAATCATGATTCTCAACCATCTTTCCTAAGTCCAACTGTGCTGGTTTCCTTCGTGATGATGATTTTCCTATAATCTATACAGGTGTCCGCAGCCACGACCAGTGTGATCAAGACAACAACACGATGGTGAGTTTGCAATCATCCACAAGGCAACCCACGACAGGTAAGTAAATCAATCAATCAGCAACACTATTAATCAACAATGTGTCAGCTGATCTTCCCCTTCGCTATCTTTCTCACAGATGCTTGTGTCCAGGCACAAGTTATGATGCGTGGCACTACAACATTGTCTCGTGCTGTACCGCCCCTCAGACCAGACAAGTGCAAGTAACTGATCCCACCAATCTTCAGTGGATGGCAGCACACTTTAGATCTACACGTGTCACACTCCAATCAAGCCTAAGTGGCAGATCGTCGGAGGAAATGCCATGTCAGCATCAATGGCCAGTGAGACCGTCAAGAGTGGAAATGTGTAGTGTCCACATGAGCAGCAAGTGTCTGCCCAATCCGTATGTGATCATTGAATCGTCTTCATTTAGTCGCGTCAACCTGATGTGCAGCTGCTGCTCCGGAGGTGCCACGTCAGTAGGTAAGTCGTGACACTTCGGTAAGTGCCACGCCAGAAGGTAAGTCGTGACACTTTGGAAAGTGCCACGTCAGACAATGTGATCCACTGCTTTGTCGTCAAGTGCCACATCAACACCAACCCGCCATGCCACGTCAACAAACGCACATCGATCTTGCTAAGCTTCATCAACAACTCTCTCTCTCTTTCTCTCACCAGTTGCCCAGCGCCCCGTCACGAAACACTCGCCAACTGATGTTGAGTCCACGTCATCATCGTCATCATCATCATCATTAGATACGGGCGCGCGTGCGAAACACATATATCAAGGCGCGCGATCAAGCGCACGATTACTATACCATCGCGCAATACCACGTGCAACAACAGATAGTGGCGAATTGGAGGATATCACTCCGATACCAAATTGCAATGAACCCAGTGTGAAGAGAAGCTCGTCAACGTCGGAACACAATGTCTCAGCGGAGTTTCAATGTCTCCAAAATCATACATATAGTCAGGTAGCCCAACGTCTGGTCACCAGAGAAGAGGATGGTGGAAGGGAGATAAGACTTAGAAGGTGGAAGAGAAAGTGCCCATCAACATAGTAGATATATCTCCCTCACAATCCCACTTCCTCCTCGGGCATCTCCCTCTCGCCACATCAGCAGACAGTCCCCTTTGATACACTCAGACAATGAGCTTATCTGATCATGGCGCTTGTCAGCGCAGTGTAATGACCCGCCAAAAACACAGACTGAGAACACTGCTGATTTCTGGGATTTGTCACTGGAATGAATGCCTTGCTGTGATTCCCGCATTCTGCTGTGGTCCCAAGTCTGTAWGTGTGTGTGTCTGCTGGTTTGCATGCCTGTCTGAGTGCTTACCGGTTGTGTGTGTGTGCGTGCCTGGCCGTTTGCATGCCTGTCTGAGTGCTTGTCYGTTGAGTGTGTGTGWYCCGCAAGGGTACTTGTTGGTTGCAATGCCCCGCAGGGCCGGTACTTACCTGTGGCCGTGACTTTGAGGGTTGCAGGGGGGTAAACACTCAGGTAGCGGGGGATAGGCCCACG